TGCATGGGGAGGTGTTGGTCCAATTCTATGAACTCTGCCTGCATGCCATGAGATTATAAGGAATGCTGTGGGATGGATGCCAACCTGCACATCTTCCCTTGCTGGAGCCATCAGCAGGAGGCACTGGGAGCACGGCTGGTGGCAGCTCCTTGCTGTGTGCCCACGGCAGCCCCCACCTCCCCTCGGGCTGCGCTGTGCTTTGAGGGGGGTTGGGGCAGCCGGCTGCCTTGGTACAAACTGAGTCACTCTGATATTGTTACCGGTAAGGAGAACACTCTGTTTCTATGTAACCTTTTATTTGTTTCTTTTGAATAATACAAATGCCTATGAATGTTATGACTTTGACACGGGGAAATTCAGTGTTTTTCCTGCGTGCCAGCTTTAGTTACAGTGTGGAATTGCTGCCACAAGACCTTGTCAAAGCGAGGCATTGAAGAGGATTTGACTGGTGCAAATGTGTTCCTTTTTATGCAAGGAACTTCAGGTGCTGAGCGCTCTCTCACTCTGGGGTAAATTGCTTTTGGCTGTAGCAGCTTCTTCAGCGTTCTTCATCTCTCCCTGCTGGGAAAGCAGCTTTCCGTGGCCGGCTATGGGAGCAGAGCTGGTGTCTGGGGAGCCCTCCTTATCACGTGGCTCCTCGAATCTTGGTGGTGCTGGTGGCCTTCAGGACAGCTCCAACCACTGCAGAACGGCCCTCCTGCACAGTTGCAGTTTTACATCTCAGAGCAATGAGCTGGCAAACACCTCTGCTCCATCTGTTTTCCTTCATTGATGGATTCTTCTGAAGTCAGATTGTGGTCCCACAGGGACACACTCAACTAATCCTCCGCTTTTAAGATTTTATTTGTGCAATAAATGGATGACAAGGTGGTTTGCAAGTACATAACACAATAAATGGGTTTATAAATGCAACTTTTCTGCAGAGCGCTGTAGAATAAAATACAATATCGCTACAGCATTTAACACTGATCTTTACTTCATTCATATTTCAAACAGTAATGTGCCCACTTTCTCATCTGGGAAGCCTCTTTTGTTTTTTTTAATACATTTTTATAAATTAACAAGGCACAGATTTAATAACAACTTGCATTCATACAGCTTGTTCACCTCGGAGGATCACGGAGTGCTTTGCAGCCTTAATGGCAGAACGCTCCAGTTGTGTGCTGGAGGATCCATTTGCTCTCCCTCAAAATGAGGTGATGGTTGGGATTGCTGAGCTGTGTTTGTGGAGGAAGCTTGAATGCAAGCCTCGCAGCAGAAGGAGAGGTGGGCAGGGAGGGATGCAGTGTGCTTCAATGGTACTCAGAGCAAAGCTGTGAAGGAGAGGTCATGGGAATGTCTGGGACACCTGAATCAGGAATAGAGCACGAGGCTGGAAGGCAGTGTGCTGGAAAGCAAAGGAGAAAATGCTCCTTCACACCTTTCTTCCAACTTGTGGAATGCAATGACTGACTTTGCACATCCAGACAAGAGGCTTCCAGGCAGGACTGTGGTTTCTCAACCAAAGCATTTCTAAAAGTGAAACTTGTGGCTCTGAGATGCTATTGGAAAAATATTTACTGATAGCAAACCATCACCTCTGCAGATGGAAAACTTGGGGAAATGGAAAAACATGATATTTATTTTGATACAATATTTTTAATATTTAATTTAAGAGACCAGCTGCTTCTGCTTCTCTTATAAGAGCTTAATTGGTATATAATAGCACAGTTAATTAAATACAAATCAATAGTTTAAAACAGCTAATTGATATTTAATATGTATGGGAAAATATAACTTAGTTATAATATAATTACCTCAATATTAAATAAGCAATGGAATTGCAATTATGCCTTTACAGTGATTATAAAGTTTATCGTTCTTTAATAAACTTGCAATTAGACAGGAAGAACTGAAAAATTATTAAACAGGTATTATTGGGCTATTAAACATTTATTATCATTCCTGGTGGGATACAGCCACACAATAGTGTGCGTTATGGTTGTGTTTACAAACCTTCATTACTCCTTTGCAGATTTAGCCTTTAATGTTCTGTTGATCAGAAACTTGGATCCCTCACTGATTTGTGGGTGGGTGAATTGCTTTGAGAGAGAAAGGGAATGCCAAGTGATGAGGAAAAAGAGGAGAAAAGCATTGAGAGTTCCTCAGTTTGGGCCAGGGAAGGGAGCTTTACTTCGAAACCAGGTTGGCCAAGCTGTATGTAAATGTCTGTTATACAAGTTGTGAGCTTGGCTCAGCCTCTGGACTCCTTTCTTTCTTGCTTTGGCAGTTGCTTTGTTGTTACTTGCTGCCCTGATGCTTTGGGATTGCTTTTCCTTTGTCCAAGTGGCTCTTCTGCAGGTTTTGGGGTGGCTCAATGGGAATGCTTCTTTGAGTGAGTCAAAATGTTCTTCTGCCACATGTTGTCCACGTGAGACATTTGAGCTCACGCCTTTCCAAAGTAGCCAGACTGACAGAGCTCAGCTGTAACTCATTCCACTGCGCTGGAACAAAGCTAATTGTCATTGCATGGAAGTGGATGGGATTTGTTTCAGAAGGTGGATGCCATGCATGGGTTAAAATGTTCATTTTTCCATGGTATCCCAGCAGGTCCTCTAAGCCAAAATATTTAAAATGCTGGGGTATCTGCTTCACTGTTAATGTTTTAGGTAGCTGCTAAAAGCCATGAAGTGGTGAGGCATCCTTAGGCATCAGCGTCATCTCAAAGCGTTTTACCTTTTAAAGGCGCTGTCAGGTATTTAAAGGTGCCTTTAGCTGTAAAGATTTTTGCATGTTCTCACAAATTTATGGTATGAATTATTATAACGTGGTGCTCTTGTATAGCTCCTTTCATCATGGGATATCAAAGTCTTTTATAAGCATTAATTATAGCACCCCTTAGGGAGGCACTCGGACGATCGGCACCCAAACCAGCTCCACATGGGGAGCAGCTCAGATCTCACTTGGAGCTTCCTTCCCTCCTGCAGGGTGAAGCTGTGCTTTGGATTCCTGGGGCAGCACCACCATCACATTGGGCAGTGACCCACTGCCATCTCCTCTAATGCACGGACTCTTTCTTGGGTGTGTTTCTCTCTGTGCAATTGGGAGGTGAGAGCTGGGCTGCTGAGTTCTGGGTGCTTAGGGTTGATGCAAGAATGGAACTATGGACTCATAGAACGGTTTGGGTTGGAAGGGACCTTAAAGATCATCTTGTTCCACTGTATTACTCCTTTTCCTACTCCTAAGCTTCACATATTGCTGCCTCTGTCTCAGCTCTGTACCTTCTGCATTGGCTCTTGCAGGACTTTATGGCAGCCTCTGCCGTTCCAGGTCTGTGTGACCAGGAGAACCCACACGTGTCCATGTGCATGATGGACACCTGAATTAGCAAGATAGCGATGTTGGCTGGTTTGGCTCTGCTGTGAACTGTGCTGCCTTGTGTGACACTAATCTAATTGTGTTGTTTTAATTATGCCTCGATAGCTCAGCGCTCGTTGAAGGCTCGATTGGAATCGATGCTATTTGTCTTTGCTATCAATAAAGACATAAGCGTGTTGCTGGCTCTGTTAGCAGAGAGAGGCTGGGAAGGCTGTCAGCAGCTCGCAGCTGATGCATGTGGGGTGGCTGGCTCTATGGGATTCCCAGCCCTTACTGATGTCTGCAGCATAGCCTACGCTGAATGCATTTCAGCCAGACCAGTTGGGAGCATTGAACTCTAATGCTCAGCAAGTTGATGCCTTTCTGGGTGTATTTACAGCTGTGCAGAGGGCTGGATTCCATCTCTGCATCAGATAGGAGATGGCTGCTGTCTGCCTGGTGCTGATGGGTGTGACTGAGTCAAGAAGCTGCTGAGAATGTGGATACTTGCTTTGCCTGCCTGAAAATGTCTGATCTTTGAGCACCCTCATCTGAGTTGATTTTCCCCTTTTCCTTTTATGGCCAATAAGAGCTGTGGGCACCTTCAGCATCCCTGAGAGGCTGCCTGGGGATGCCCTCTGGGATACTACTTTAGGTGGCAATGTGGATTTAAGGTGCAATTAAACTTCAGCTGACTTTAATCATCTCAAGAGGCATCCATCTGTATGAGCATTGACTTCAGTGGGATTGCACGCAGCCTTTCTTTTTTTTCTGCAGGCTGACATTGCCTCTGATGGGAGCCTTAGGATCAGGAGCTCTTGGTTCTCGTGAGATGGATCCTGGTTCTGTTAGGGTATTCTCCTTACCTTGTCCTCCTGCTCACGCCCTGGTGTCACAAGGCATCTCTGTTTTCTGCATTTTGGCTCTGGTTCTGCCCCAGATGCTGAGGAGGATGCTGATGCTCCTGCCTGAATGCCCCATCAGCACTGGGGAGGAGCAGTGCACCCACAGAGCCGTATGCCTCAAGTTGTCCTCCTGCACATCCCGCAGCACTGGGCGACTTTACCTGCTCTGACAGACAGCCAGACCTGCGGTTCATCTCCAGGGACCTGAAATCCCTGCACAGCTTCGCACAGCACCGCCTCACCACTCCCATCCCGCTGCCCCACCGCCTTCCCCTCCCGTGCCGATCCCGCACGCTCCATCCTCACGGAGCGGGGCTCTGTGGAGGCTGCATTAAGCAAACATCAAAGGGGCTTTGATCAGCGAGGCCCTGCAGAGCACGGCAGCCCCCGAGGAATGCGCCGGGGCGGCAGTGGGGACGCGCTACCTTGATTTCCTCCTCTGCGACACAATTTGTTTGAAGAATGGAAGCTGAACGCCGCCGAGATGCGTGTGGGCAAACACACAGCCTGCTTCTGGGAGAGCCACGCTCGGATCTTTCTCTCTTGGTTACCAGAAAGCCCCATTAAGGAATCAAGGCATCGAAGGCGTAGGCATCCTCAGCCTGGAGCACTTCTCTGCTTGTAGGGCCACCTGCGTGTTCCCATCCCTCAAGCCTTGGCTAATCTTCCCTGTTGAGGACCGTGTCCCAGTTGCTGCGCTCTCCCCATGCACTCGCTCCTGTCCCCAGCCTTCTAACGCCGCTCTCTCTTCTCTTGCAGAACTGGGGCTCCCAGGAAGAGGATGCTGCCTAGTGCTGGGGTTCATGTACAAGGAGAAGTACCGCAGGATGACTGAAGGTGAGCGGCTTCCCCACCTTCTCTTCATCCTTCCTCCTTAGTGGTCTCATCACAGAGGTTCATTGCTGCTGGGAACAGGTTCTTGCTTGTCCCAAGGAGAAAATCCTGATTCCCTTTTGTTTTCTGAAGCATCTTAATGGGCACAGATAGGGGAGGAGCAGTAAAAGGAGAGCAGGAGGCTAATACCTCTATTCATCCCCATCTACTGTCTTCTCCTATTTATTTGTCTCACTCTTTCAGCATCCAGTCTTTGTATTCTGGTTTTCATTCTGCCCTTCAACTGGATACATCTGGCCCTACTGGAGAGGTGCTCGGGTTATCATTACCCTAATGCCCTCAAACTGCAACATCCCAGAGCTTGTTTGGACAACCTTGGCAAATAAATGTCCTTCTAATTAGTGGCACTGAGAAGCCACTGAGGGTCGGGCTTAGCCTTGCTGTGTTCAAAAGCTGATGGAGTTTCTTGGGCAAATATCTCACCTGGGATCAGAGCTGCTGTGCCTTCTCAAAAGCATCATTGTTTTTCTTGTCAAACCCCTGCATTGAGGCAGAGATGTCTCTTAAAAAATTCCCCTGTTTTGTATTCTGGTCATCCCCCAGGTGCTTTATGAGCATTGATTAATCCATAGAAACACCATAAATAATTATGAAGCGTAATAACTAAACAAAAACTATTTATGCTCGGAAGGATTGGCATCCCTGCTGCTGGCAGCATTTTGCTTGGCTGCTTTCTTTGAAGCAGCCCCGTCTCTGCTGAATGTGGGGTTTGGGGGAGGCCCCTTCCAGGGGAAAGTGCATCGTGGTGATGCGTTGGGGTTTTGCTCAACCTGAACAGGGCCAAGCTGGTTTCAGTCCTTGTTTTGGAGGTAGATAGGAAATGGTTTGGACAGAAGAGTGCTGACATGCCCTGCTGTGCATTTGTTCCTTAGAGCAGGACAGGGAGCTGCCAGCAGCTGGCTGCAGGGAGCCTTGTGTGCACGAGAGCAAAGGGTGCATTAGCTTGCAGGGGGCGAAGCTCCAGTGGAGGCAAGCTCATGGCTTGAATACCAGCTATGAGATCAAAGGTTCCCTTGGTTCCCCAGGAGCCCTGAGACTGAGATGATAACATGGAGAAAGCGCTTCACAAGTTTTCACCTCATGTTTGTTAATTATCCCGTGCTTTTTAAACATTGATTAGAATATTTTTAACTGGATGGCGCTGCCCCTTGGGTGCCATGGGAAGGTGCAATCTCTTGATGGTTTTGGGTCCCTCAAGCTTCCCAGGGATGCTTGTAGGTGCCAATTGTGGGTGTCTCAGTGCACCCTGTGGCACTGCTCCAGCCTGGCAGACTCAGGGCATTGCAGAGCAAACCCTTGGGCTTTGTGGGTAGAGAATAAAGCCAGATGAAAGGTGCAAAGTAAAGCCTTTGTGTGAGGAAGGGAACAAAGCAATGAGTTTCTGGCCCCCGCAGACTGCAGGGCTGTGACGTTTAAAGGTACAATCTTCCAAAAAGAACACAGGGGATTTCCATGGCTACAAAGACCGCCCTGGACTTGTTTTCACTCAAGATGACTCTGGATGACAGGTGCAGACCTGCAGCCTCCTGCAATCCAGCTTGTATGGTGTGGGCTGAGCGCTGACGGGAGCCAAGGAGGTTTCAGGTGTGCAGCCATCCCAGGGCAGCCCCTGCAAGCAACTCCTGAGCCATTCCCTAGGAGGGATAAGGAGTGAGACATCTTCCCCTTCGTGTCTTTGCCAAATTAGAGCTTTTTCTCCTTTATTGCACTGTGGTCCTAATGAACAGCCCTATTTGTAATAGCAGGGTAGCTGGAGGAGTTGAAAGCATGAGTAGGCAGGGACAATCAGATAATTATGAGGTGTGGGGTCTTCACGGTAGTGGAAATGGGTAATTATGGTGCAGCATTACCTTACTGTCACTTCATGGAGACATCTACAGAGTGGGATTCAGAGGTAGAGAAGCACAAGAGAACTTGGAGCTCGTGTCAGCTGCACTGTGCCCTACTGCTGCTGACCCTGGTAAGGAATGTCCAAGACCTCACCTCTGTTAGTGTTACTGTTAGTTAACATGTAGCATAGAATCATTTAGGCTGGAGAAGACCTCGGAGGTCATCAAGTCCAACTGTTAACTTAGCACAGCCAAGCCTACTGCTAACTCGCATCCCTAAGCACCACATCTATGAAATACCTCTAGGGATGGGACTCAGCTATCAGCTCTTCATACTGCCTGTATCAACATGCATCCTGAAAATCTGGTCTGGAGAATGCGTGCAACACTGCTGTGAAGCGTGCAACAGGAAAGCAGGCAAGGTTTGGGTGTGATTTAGGGCACGCAGAGGAAGGGGATGCCCTGCCACACGCCTGTCCCTTTGCTGTGATTGACATGTGCCTTGTTGGCATGCTAGGAGTGCTGTTTGGTGAGCTGTGGGTCAAAATGGAGCTGGTGACAGTTGCAGGCAGAGGTAGAGCTGTCTGCAGTGATGGTCTTGCAATAGAGATACTTTAGAGTTAATCCTCCACCATCTGTCTTCATTCTGCTAATAACCCACTCAATCAGCTGCTGCTGACTGTTTGTTAGCACTCAGAAACAGATTTTGGCAGGAGCATGCACACAGGGCTGGATTCCACCCCAGCCATGGTGGTGGGTCAGCAGGGCTGGGGAACGCAGAGCACCCTGGGGATCCCAAAGTGCATGGCCGTAAGGCAGAGGTCCTGCTGTGCTGGGCTGCCCTGCATTCCCCAGGTGGAACCCAGGTGAGCAGAAAGGTTGCACTGCTGTAGTCCCAAGAACAAGCAACTCTGACCAACCTAAAAACTGAGACTGGTTTTCTGTTCCCTCTTCCCCTCCTGTTCAGTTGGCTTCCCAGAGCTGGCAGCCTCTGAGCTCAGAAGTTGGGGCTGTGCTGCAGGACCCCTCCCTGCCGCCCACCACCCCATCCCTGCCCATCCAGCACTTTCCACTGGGCTGGCCAAGGGCAGGATTTCACCTCTCGCTCCTGCTGTTTTCCTTCATCCCTCCTTCCTTTGACTTCTCGCCATATCTAACATGAGTCATTAGCAAGCGTCGCTGCAGCAATTATGGCACTTCTTGCCTGTCATTCAAAAAGCTACTAACGGAACGATGGAGCACTCAGTGTCATTCTGTGCTTCACCACCTGCTCCCAGCAGCCACCGACTGCTGGAGGTCCCTTTTTGGAGACACCGGTGGCTTTGGGGTCCCTCTGTGCATTCCCCTTCACTGTGACAGCTTATCCCACCATACAGCTGCCTCCTGCTGCATGGAGCAGCGTCTTGGAGGGGTTTTTGGTCCTCAGCTTCCCTATCTCCGGTCTGCAGAAAGGCTTTGGTTCTGCCCAGGCACAGAGAAAGAGTCGTGTATGCATATGAAAGCTGTTTTTATGGCTTATAATTATCTCGTACCCATCCTTAGAATAATTATAGCTCCTCCATTATTAATAATTGGAATTCCAGTCCTTGTCATAGATCACAAAATGGAGAGGAAGCTCAACCCAGGCTTTGCATAATGTACCTTGGTCTCAATTGAGTAATTGGTAAAATGGTGAAAATCGTTAGTTTTCCTCCATTCCTTGGTGCTGGAATTAGTGAGATATTAGTGCAATTAGCCACTGCTTCCATTTGAGGCTGCAATCATTTGGTTTGTAATTTAGAATAAATGTAAAAGCCCACTTGTGCAGCTGAACAGAGCATTTGTCCTGTTTAAAAGTATCTAATGGGGTGGCTGTCATCTAAGCAAGATACATTTGACCCATTTCAATTTGTTTCCCTTTTAATCTGCTATCTGTTTTCCTGGATCTTTTTTTAATAAAAACATAAAGAAGGAACGGGTGAGTGAGACCAAAGAGGGAGAGAATAGAAGCATCATAGATCTGGAGTTTATCATAAGCCAAAGTAACTTGAAATCAAGCCTGTTAAACGGCAGAAAGCAATAAAAAGCAAACACTATTTGGAGATCATTTAAAGGGCCGAGTGACTTGTCAATGAAAGGTTGCTCTGTTCGACTGCTCCTTAATAGCTTCTCAGAGGGAATCTGCAGCTCTTGCAAGAAGGAAAGCTGCAGCAGCTCTGAGCTTGGGCAGGAGGTGGGGGAATCCAGCACCGAGAAGCTGTAAATGAGGCAAGGATCTAAACCCAAAATGGGGTTTGGGCTTTAAAATGTGTCCTAAATATCAAAGCCTTGGATCTACTGAGGCTGGAAGCTTTGCTGTCGCTTGGGCACAGATCAATAGCACTGTGCCCTCCTCCATCAGAGAGTTCTGTGCTTTCCCTCCCACAGGCTGAGCATCCTTCCAGGGATTGTCTGATTCAAAGCTCGTTGCTGTCAGGCTCCATATTGCTGCCTGGAGAGCAACCAGCTGGGGCTCTGGGCTGGAGTCCCTGCTGTGTGGGGACAAATGGCTTGTTCAGAGGAGCTGGCTGTGTTCTGCTCCAAATGTCTCTGCTTGAACACCACTTGTGCTGCCTGCAGTAGTTCAAAGCAGGTTCAGTGAATGCTTCCTGCCAGGAAAACGTCCTATTAGAGTGGCACTGAGATGCGGTGACGTATTTGTGCCACCCAGCAGCAACCCAGCAAGGCTGCTCCTGCCTCAGAATTGCTTGGATTTATGAGGTGAGATCCTGAGAGTGACTTAGCAGCAAAGACTGAGTGTGAATCCTCTTCAGTCCCAAGGAAAAATCGGAGCCAACCCTCTTATCCCAGGAGAAGCAACTTGAGGGTGCCACCATCTTCTCATTCTTCACCCAAGGAGGTTTGGACAGGATGCAGGACCTTGGCATCAGCTTGGAATTGGGGCATCCTGCTGTGTTTTGCTAAGAGCTCCCTGGAAAGTAACCCACTGGGATCAACTGCAGCTGCTTTCCAAAGGATACTGCAAGATCCTGTGCAAGTTTTGCACTGCTGACTCTGCTGTCATCACCAATAAAGTGCTGTGTGCTCCAGGGCTTGGCAGCTCTGTGATAGCAAAGCTTGCCTTACCCCAAGCCCTGTCACTCACGTCTGCCCACAAAAACACAGTCGCAATTGATTAGGGCAGGCATCTTCCCATATGAGCCACATTGGGCCTTTTGTTCTTCATCTGACAGAGGCTCTTGAGACAGAAGAGGAGAGTAGATGGAGCAGGCACTGGAGTGGTTGTTAGAGATGCAGTGTGATCAACAGAGCTCTCATTGACACCTCTTCTGTGTCTGTTAGCTCAGCAGGGTGGGGATGAAAGTTAAATCCCAGGAAAAACAGCAAACACATCACTGCTTTGTCTGTGTCAGATGCAAGGGATCTGTGTGCTCAGGTTTGGGTGGTGGGAAGCTTCTGCCTTTGGGTTCCTCTCTGCCCGTGGGGAGGCAGGCTGGGTTTTGTCCTTGCTGCTGAGATGGTCTGCTGTGCTTGTAGTGCAGCTGAGCAGCTCCACTGGTTATAAAGTTGGTACCAAGCTGGTGAGATGATACGACTGTAGAAGGGTTTGAGTTGGAAAGGGCCTCAAAGATCACCTGGTTCCAGACCTGCTGCTGCAGGCAGGGCTGCCAGTCACTAAATTGGGCACAAGATCAGGTTGCCCAGAGTCTCATCCAACACAGGCTGTGGTTCTATGGTAACGGTGGTGGTGTAGCAGTTAATGATCTAAGGATGTAATTTTATCTGTTGATTTTTTTTTTTTTTTTTTTTTAGTAGTGCTTCCCTATGGTGTTAAATTAAGACAGTACTTCCTCACTTCCCAAGTGCTTGTGCTCTTCAGGAGCTGCTGCTGCTCCTATGGAGCCTGCAGGGCACGAGCACCATGTGCATCCCTTTAGTCCTCTAGGGATGCTGCAGGGGTGTGATGTCAATAAGCATAGACTGATATCTCGGGGTGGGTGCAGAGTGTCTTGGTTCTTTGAATCCCACTGTCCTTGTGCACCTCTTTATGTTCTTTGCAATGCTTGAAATGGGATGAGCATCTAAGGAACACATAGCAAGATGCTGGGAAGAATCCTGTAAGATTCATATGGAAAAGGGCAGAGATAAGTCTACGTGCTTCATCCTCCCTGTGAAGTCTCTGTGTTGATGGCTTTGCTGGGTCTGGGGTGGTTTATTTTTCAAGCATCAGGGGGCAGTGGGGAACTAAAGGCGATAGGAGCTGCTGTCTGAAGGCAGTGACTGCAGCTTCTCATCTCCGCGCTGCCTCCGGGCTACCTGCAGAGTTTGCCTTTGAGCTCATGGATTTGTTGATGGTTCTCCCCTCCCTGCAGAGCTGCTGCTGCAGCCCAGGGCTATTATTCAGCTTTCCTTCCTCCGTGTCTGCAGGGACCCTGCTGCAGAGGTGGCTGACAGCTGGATTTCATCAGCAAAATGGGTCACAGCGTTGACATGGTGCCCATCAGAGCTGAACCTGGACATGCAGCCTGGCTGTGCTGTTAAGCCAAGTGCTGATGATGCTGTAAATCCTCCTGTAAGCTCTCATGGTGTGGTGCATTGGGGATAGGAGGTGTCAGTGTATCCTGGGGACCGGAGGAGACTTCTTTACCTCTCCTGGGAGTCCTTGATATTACGTGTGCCAGGTGCCCATCCCTGCCCTGGACCTGTGGCACACACATGCAGGCTCATTTGGGACTGAAATTCACAAACTGGAGCAACAAATCATCACCATGTCACCACAGCTCAGAATAATTTCAGTTAAATTTCAGTTGCAGCCTTTTAAGTCCCACTCAGAGAGATGTGCTCTGTATTGATTGACAGCCAGGCGAGAACACCAGAAGTAAATCTCTGTGCACCCAGGAACAGGAGCTTGTTGGGAGCTCCGTGCCCAAGCTGGGCTGTGGGATGGGAGCTGAGTTGGGTGCCGAGGAGGTGGAACACTCTGGTGTTGCAGCACAGGTCTTTGCTTTGGTGTGCTGTGAAGAAACTCAAAGTCAAACTCAAACTCAGAAGCTGCATTGCCCATTGGTTTCCCTGGGTTAGGTCATGTAGCATCACCTCTGCTCTGCATTGCAAACCTTTCTGGAGCAGTGCAAGAGTGCTGTATTTCACAGTTCTAACAACAAAATGGGTTTCAGCCCAATACAGAATGGCCCTGTTCCATTCTGCAGTTTGGCATTGACTGAAAGGTGCTGCAGTGAAATACCCTGCTTTGTTTGGGTTGGACTTCTTCTAAATCCTTCTGCAAATCCTTTCTCATCGTAAGGAAATAGCAAAATATTGTTGGAAGGCATCAAGCTGAATGTGGCAAGTCCTGTTCTGCCTCCCCCTGAGCGACATGATGTGTTTGGCCAAAGCCTGCCATCTGTATTCAGTAAATAAAGTCCCTCAGCAGCCTTGGGCTGAGGCTGATGGACACAGAAGGACGAGATGTGGTCAGAAAACCTACAGAGAAGGTGGGTTGTGGGGGGGTCTGGAGGAACCCCCTGGAGGCAGTAGCACCAGGGCTGTTAGTGGGATCCTGTGCAGAGAGAGGGGCTCCAACAGACCTGAGCAGTGTCAGTGCTGGGGCTGTGTGCGTATCCTTCTGTGCCCAGTATTTGCTCCCACTGGTATTTACCCAATCTATAAATGTATTAATGGCTCTCATCTGAAAATACATCCAGAGATAGAACTTGCGATGGGCTTTTTTTTCCCTTTAACAAAGATGAAGGTTTTATATAGACAGGGGAAAGGGAAGGGAAGTGAAATGTTCAGTGACTAATGATCCTCATCAATATTCATGAGAGATGGTATGCATTTGGAGATTTAAAATAAAGGAAGGAAGAAAGGGAGAAAGGAATTGACTTCTCAAGAAGCTAAATGAAATATTTAGGTTGACCTGGAGATAAATCTGCCAGCTCTTTGTCGCCGGCAGCTCGGACCTGCGTTCGATTGAGCTCTCCAGGAAGAGCTGGAGCTGCCCGTGGAAGTTCCTGGAGCTGACAGTGGGAAAGTGTCTTCTCCAAAGAGTGGTGCTGCACTGCACAGCTGCACAGAGAGGGGGGGACAGAGGGTCACCATCCCTGGGGGTGTCCCAGAGCCATGGGGATGTGGCACTGAGGGATGTAGACACGGTGGGCTGGGGAACTCAGAGGACTTTTTCGACCTTAATGACTGATTCTTTTCTATGAGGCTGTGGTGGTCCAGAAGGCTCCATCCAGTGGTGAATGCCACGTTGTGGAGGAGGACGCCTGGTTTATTTCTGTGGCATATCCATCCCTTGCTGCTCCTGAGTGCTTTCCTCCCACTTTGTGCCACCATTTCCCTCCCTGTCCTTTCTAAAGCAGATCACCCTGACTGTACCTAACATGATGCTGCAATTTTAAACCTCCCCCAGTACTTGAAAATAGGCAGAGCAACTTGTCCCTTCCCCATTTTGGTGTTCAGCCAGCTGTGGTGGGGAGAAAATCATCTGCAGGGAAAATGCCTGAAATAGGGCTTTGCCAGGAGGATCCAGCTCCAGATTTACATCAGCATCAGTGGGGGATAGGATCACCAGGATAATAATCACCTGATTTAATTGCTGAAAGAGTATATCAGAAAGGCTTTCCCCTGCCTTCTGCATTTCTCCTCTCCTGTATTTTTTCCACTTTCTGCACATTGCCCTTCTCTCTGCTCCAGGGCTGCTCCCTCTCCCTTCCCTGCCATCCCTTCCTCAAGTGACAGCTGTCCCACCCCCCAAGGTCACTCGCCCTTGAGACCGCCGTTGATCTGTGCCCTGATAGAAGGGCTGAGTATTGACTTTGGCTTCAGCTTCATTACAAAGCAGCCTCATTTGTCAACTTGTTTGTTCCGAGAGCTGCTTGGGAGATGCAGTGCTACCCCAGCACCACTCCCTCTGTGAGGGTTGGCAGGCAAGGTCATTGCAGGTGGCCCCGCACCATCAGCTCCTCCTCATTAATTGATGTCACAGCACTTCTAGCAAGGTCAGATCCCAAAGGAGTCTGGGTGCTATGAGGAGTTGCAGGTGCACGATGTGATCCCAGCTGGGAACACGACACAGGGTGCTCCCGTGCAGCTCAGAGATGGGGCTGAGCCCTCATGGTGGCATCCTTATCAGCAGGGCGAATGGGGAGGGCTAATTTCACTGTCATCAGCTGCCATCAGGTAACTCATCTGCAGCGTTCTGGTTTTAATCCAAGTGGTCAAATGAGGTTAATCAAATAAGTTGCCTGGGCTCTTTTTCGTTCCATTATTGGTGGTAAATAATGCACTGACAGGTGTTGCTGTGTGACCTCTCTGTGTCGGGACCTGGGATGCTGGCAGGGTTCAGATATCGGCAGGGGACAAACAACCTGCTGTCCCTTCAAAGGCCTCTTTTGCTGGGAACAGTCTTTCTCTGAAGACACATGGGATGGGTGAAGCTCCTCTGTGTCATTTGGGAGTTTTGATGATCTTAGAGGTCTTTTCCAACCTTACTGATTTGATGATTCTATGGTCCCAGGGCTGTTTTGGCACATTGTCAGAGGCACAGAGGGTCTGGGCAGTGCAGGAGGAGTCCTGCTGAAGGATTCCTCCCAAGTAAGAAAATCATGACGTGCTTGCAGCTCTGAGCTCTGCATGCAAGGGAACCATCAGCCCTCTGTGCTCCCTGGTGGGAAGTTTTTCCTAACCCCAGTGCTTTGAAGCTGGGCTGTGCTGCAGGGGTTAATGCTGACGCAGTGCTGGGTTTGACAGCAGCCAGGGAGGTGAGGGAAAGATGTTCCCTGTGTTGCCACAGGCGCTTTGCTTGGACATGCAGCCAGGCAGTGAGCAGGGAAGGGTACAGGCAGTGGGAAGGAAGGGCGTGGGGAGCAAGAGGAGGTGAATTTATATCATCTGGAGGAAGCTCAAGGGGAGACACGACCAGAGTCTATAAATACATGCAGCCACAGAAACAAAGGGAGGGAATTATTCATGGCCTCAGAAGGCAGGAGGACAAGGAGCAGCGCCTGGAGCAGAAACAAGGGGAGTTTATCCTGGGTCTGGAGCAAGAGAAGGGCCTTTGGGGTCAGTGGTGTGATGGAGAACGTGCCATATCTGCTCTCCCCATGCAGCCTCTGGAGCTGCTTTCTCCCCCTGCCCAGCATTGCTTTGCAGCAGCCCCTCCTGTTCCCTCCCTGTGTGCAGGCAGGGTTATTCACATCGAAGGAGAGGCAGTGGGGTGCATGGGGTGACCACGTGGCCCCAGGACAGGGGCACTCAGTCCCAGTGTGTGCCAGCACTGCCAGCCCGCGGCTCAGCACAAGTCATCTCTGATGAGTAACGCAGCCAATGAATGTCTGCCTGCGTGCATCTTCCTCCCCTATAGAATAATTTAATGTTATCTCCGGGCCTCCTGCTCCTGAGATGAAGAGATTTGCTTCAAACCTGCAGCCCACAGCCACCACCATCGGTTTCAAACGTCATTAAGTTTCATTATAACAAATAAACACTGCAATGACATTTATAAGTTACCAGAGAGCATGGAAACGCAAATATGAAGCAGATAAACTGCATTTGATCCGAATAATTACTGCAGGCAATATCGAGCTGGGGCTGAGCTGGCAGCCGGGGGCCGAGTAATTTATAGGTGTCTGTATGGTGTGGGACCGTGTGCTGCATCTCACAGTGATGGAGCTGGAGCAGGGCTGCCCCCACGTGCCATTTCCCTTTGTTTTGACTCCCAGCTGAACACTGCCTGCTCCTCAGCTCCAGGCAGGGAATCCTTTACTG